GAGGTGGGAGGATCACCTGAGCCAAGGAGTTTGAGGCTACAGTGAGCTAGGATCATGCCAATGCAGTCTAGCCTGGGTGACAAAGTGAAACATTGTCTCTTAAAAAAAATAAGAAGGTTGCCAGATGAGTGGCGCATGCCTGAAATCCCAGCACTTTGGGAGGCCGAGGTGGGCAGATCATGAGGTCAGGAGGTCGAGACCAGCGTGGCCAACATGGTAAAACCCTGTCTCTACTAAAAATACAAAAATTAGCTGGGTATGGTGGCTGCTACCTGTAATCCCAGCTACTCGGGAGACTGAGGCAGGATAATTGCTTGAACCCAGGAGGTGGAGGTTGCAGTGAGCCAAGACCGTGCCACTGCACTCCAGCCTGGGTGACACAGTGAGACTCTGTCTCAAAAACAAAACAAAACAAAAAAACCAAAAAAGGTCGAGACTAGTGAACAATACAGTCAGGATGGCTAAAGGTTACACCAAGAAAGGAAAGGGCAAGATGTCTGCCTATACTTTCTTTGTGCAGACGTGCAGAGAAGAATATAAAGAGAAAAACCCAGAGGTCCCTGTCAATTTTGCGGAATTTTTCAAGAAATACTCTGAGAGATCAAAGACAATGTCTGGGAAGGAGAAAGCTAAATTTGATAAAATGACAAAGGTGGATAAAGTGCACTGTGATCAGGAAATGAAGGACTATGGACCAGCTAAGGAAGGCAAGGAGGAGGAGGATCCTAACACCCCCACAAAAGGCCGCCATCTGGATTCCTCTCCTCCTGTTCTGTTCAGAATTCTGCCCAAGATAAAATCCACAAACCCTGGCATCTCTATTGGACACACAGCAAAAAAGCTGGGTGAGATGTGGAGTGACTTAAATGACAGTGAAAAGCAGCCTTACATCACTAAGGCAACAAAGCTGAAGGAGAAGTATGAGAAGGCTGTTGTTGAGTGTAAGTCAAAAGGAAAGCTTGATGGTGCAAAGAGTCCTGCTAAAGTTGCCCGGAAAAAGGTGGAGGAAGAAAATGAAGACGAGGACAAAACAGAGGAGGAAGAGGATGAATAAAGAAACTGTTTATTTCAATATTTAATTCAAAACTTAAGTGTATTTTTTAAAAGTCTGTTGTATAAATCTTTAATACTTCAAAAAGAAGATTAATTTGACAAGCAATAATTATTCTTTGTTTAGAATTCACTCATCCCATTCTGCTAAATGATTTTTAACAAGTCTTGGGTAAGCTAGTTCAAGCTCTGAAAACACAGCTTACAGGAAGATAATAACTAGCTTTCCTTGCTTCTATTAGCTCAGCACTCCAAAATACTATAATCCGTGATTGTCAAACTGATATTGCTAAGACATTGCTTTACATTTCTAGCTCGTTATTTTAAGTTGCCACTAGATAAAATTTAAATCGATACTCAAAATTCTCTAGGCCAGGCTCAGTGGCTCATGCCTGTAATCTTAGCACTTTGGAAGGCAGAGGCAAGCAGACCACTTAAAGTCAAGAGTTCGAGACCAGCCTGGCCAACATGGTGAAATCACCCCTATTAAAAATGGAAAATTTAGCTGGGCATTATGGTGTGTGCCTGTAGTGCCAGCTACTCGGAATGCTGAGGCACAAGAAATCACTGGAACCTGGGAGGTGGAAGCTGCAGTACGCTGAGATCATGCCACTGCACTCCAGCCTAGGCGACAAGCGGGAAACTGTCTCAAAAACAAAAACAACAACAAGCACAACAAAATCCTGCATGTTATGCTTGGTTGTAATTTCCTTCCTTAACACATCTCAATTTTGTTTTGAGAGGGAGTCTCACTCTGTCGCATGGAGTGTAGTGGCACAATCCTGGCTCACTGCAATGACTGCCTCCCAAGTTCAAGAGATTCTCCTGCCTCAGCCTCCCATGTAGCTGGGATTACAGGCATGAGCCACCACGCCTGGCTAACTTTTTTTTATTTTTAGTAGAGATGGGGTTTCTCTATATTGGTCAGGCTGGTCTCAAACTCCTGACCTCAAGTGATCCGCGTGTCTTGACCTCCCAAAGTGTTGGGATTACAGGCGTGAGTCACCAAGCCTGGCCCTAAGATTTTTTTCACTATCAAAATTGTTCACTTACCCTTCCTCAAACTTATCTTCTTAGCCATCCAACCATCAGTCCCCCAAAAATTTAATCCGTATGTTTGAAACTTACCTAGCCCAGAAAGCCAATTAAAATTCCCTCTCTCTCTCAAACCATCTCAGCTAGTTATATTACTCTCCTATGAACACCTGGGATTACTTACTATACACATACTTCCCATTTGCAAGTCACCTTTACTGCCTGTGGATCTAGAATGATTTTGTAAGTATTTACTGCAATATAGCCATGCCCATTTGTTTATGTATTGTCTAAGGCTACTTCTGAGATACAATGGCAGAACTGAGTATCTGTAATAGAGACCTATTAGTGTGGAAAGTCTGAAATATTTACTATCTGGCACTTTAAAGGAAGTGTGGGCACTGCCTTAGACTCCTAATGTACCCTTTCTCTCTCCAATTAAACCACACTCTTCTGAAGGAGTGGTATTTTATATATGCTTTTTAGTATTGGTACTTCAAGAACGTATCTAAAGAAACCTTGCAAGTAACCATTTTTAAAAGCTCAACTGCCAGGCGTGGTGGCTCACACCTGTAATCCCCGAACTTTGGGAGGCCAAGGTGGGTGGATTACCACCAGAGGTCAGGAGTTTGAGACCAGCCTGGCCAACATGGTGAAATCCCATCTCTACTAAAAATACAAAAATGAGTCAGGCATGGTAGTGAGTACCTATCATCTCAGCTACTTGGGAGGCTGAAATGAGAATCATTTGAACCTGGGAGGCGGAGGTTGCAGTGAGTCGAGGTGGCACGACTGCATTCCAGCCTGAGCGACAGAGTGACTCGGTTTAAAAAAA